GAAGTTGGTCTCAACATTCCGTACACAAAGTACTTAATATTGAGTGTAGGCTAGTAGCAGGTGTTTTTTATGAAGCCATTGGTATTTCTTGGGTGGGTCTTGAACCAACAACCTTAAGGTATGCACGTGCAAAAGGGACTGCAGTCTGTTTGCGCTGAATGGCTCCCTGAATAAACGGCTCCACCTTCCCTGGAGTTTCCTTAGTGGGATCTTTCTAGAATTTTCTGTTTGAAGGACAGCTGCAGTTGGCCGAGAACTGCCAGACCTCCCACACAACACCAAAGGGTCTCTAAAAACTGTTCTTACCTCACTGTTGTTTGTAAAGGGGACCACTTCAGCTTTTGGTAGACTGTAAAGTTTGATACATAGAAGGTAAGATAAAAGTAAACTAATTTTCTAGATTTCTGTTTTCTTACCCGTGAGATTACTGTGGTTTTTTTTTTGGTGGGTTGGTGTTAGCACAGTCCACCCTTCCGTAGTCTGGATGGAACAGAGCAACCCTGTGTAGATGTTTGTTCTCCCTCTGGGTGTGGACACCCCCAGAGAACCTGAGAATGTGCTTATACATCTTTGTGTGAATGTGTGTGTGTGTGTGTGTGTGTGTGTGTGGTAACGGATCCTCAGACAGGACATCGCATGATATGGATGTGTTATGATAAAGACCCTTGAAAGAGAAGAACTGCGGTCCTTGCAGTCTTTGACCAGAATGATGTGTGAAGTTATGGTACAGGATGTAAAATAGAGGAAGAACAGTAAAATGAATAACGTCCTTGCTACATTATCTAAACGAGGATGCGACTTCGTCCATCCCCGCCCACACCCGTGACGTCCCAGGTCAGATATGAAATGGTGGGCTTGGCATGGATGGAACTGGATGTCCAGGAAAGACGGAGAAGTCGCTGGTGTTGTTGCTGAAGCGAACTGCGGTGAAACTGTTCGATCCCCAGTATCTGTTTACTCCCGCTCTGTCTCGGTCAATTTGCATGTCTGGGTGTGGAACTCTCCACTACTAACCTTTAGACCGGTCTTGTTTCCATAGTGTAGTGTCAGCGGGAGGGAATTACGTATAGTTTTCCCCTGTTCAGGCCCTGTGAACCAATACCTGTGATACTCTATTATGAGTAACACAGGTATAGGCTCACGTTTTTTCCCTTGTTGGAATCTCGGTCCAATAAAATGAAAATAAATTTCGTGCTGAGGTAAATGTCTGCCTAATCTTGGACAATTATAGAATCTTGTATGTCCATGCTAACATGGTTTGTAGTTATGCCAGTGTGGTTTTGGTCATCATCATCCAGTTAGCAAAATGAATTATTTGGCCTTGGTAGTGGATTTTACCTGCCATTTGTCCCAGTGTAAATAAAATTTAACACGAAAAACACATGAATTGTCACTCATACTTAAACCTGCTCACACGCACTTGATACTCGTTGCACTTTTCACACAGACACGCAATTGCTACCTCTCTCATACAGTTCATAGAAACATGTATGCACACTTTTGTTCCTTAGACAGACACGTTCACTTTTTGTCTCTTTTTTCTCTCTCTCCCACACTCCGTCTGTCTCTAACACACACACACACACACACACACGCACACAGATTCCTTTCCCCCCTCTCCGCCTCTCTCTTGCATGTATGCACTTGCGCGAGGACACACAGTTCCATTTGCAGTAGGAGGCAGTAAAATGGTACACGTCAACTCTCTCTGGCTGCAGGAAGACCATCACGGAGGCGTCGGATGGACGATGAGGAGGACGAGGTGTTCCGGCCTGTTTCTCGCTGCTGGGGCGCCCCCTTCAGGGAGATCAAGTACGAGGACAGGGGCACGCAGACCCCCAGCCCCCCCCTGAGGCCACGGGGCAGCATGCTGCCCTGCGGCACATCCCAGGAGCCGCGGAGACTCTTCTATGGTGAGGAGACAGTCAGTGGCGCAACTGCGCCCCCTGGTGGAGCCTCATAGACACGTAGCAGGGCTGCTCAGAAAGAATGTAGTGACACAAGCTCAGATCCCTCTCCTTCAAAGCCTCAAAATCTCACCCAAACACTTCTGCGCAGCCAAATGCGTAAACACATGCCTGCGCAAACACGTGTGCATGCACAGTCACACACACGGTTCAGTTGGAAGTTCTCTCGCTGCTCTTTCACAAACTAAAAAAAAGGAAAGTAATGTAGCTGGTCAGTTAGGTGCAGTAAGTTTCATTTAACCAGTTTCCCTAGCTGCCAGCAACATGGCCCGTGATGTCACATTCAGCTGGATATTGTGTAACCTTGCGTTCTGATTGACAGCTCCTCTCCCCATTCCATCTTAGTAAATAAAAGTTTACTCCTCAGGTTTGAGATCACATGATAGTTAAGCATACGAAAGCAACATACACAATTTTGGCAGACGAATAAAGTAACCTGAGAAAGTGTTGAAAGTATGTCTGCATAGGTTGTATGGGAGTACTTTTATCCCCTATATTGTCTGTGCTTAATAGCATCAAGTCTTGGAGGATTATCCTAACTTATGATACCACAGCCAGTCGAGCCGGTTTATGCAGTTCTGGAAAACAGCAGGATGAAGTAAATAACGCGTACGTGCACACCTCGCCCTGTATCGGAGGGATTTGTCACGTTTGTATCAAACCTCTAGCCGGTAGAACGCCTACACCTCACAAGGACTTAAAGGAGCATCTTTTCAGAGCGAAGGTTTAAGCCGTTAATTTTACTGTTACCATGAAGCAAGTAAGCCTATTGTTGCCATGAAAACACAGACGTGCGTCCCTATATGTACTTTCAGATGAGAGCTCAAACCGTTATTCAAATGTCCTGATCCTCCATAAGAAATGACTTCTGATCTCTGTAGATTGTTGCAATATTTTCCATATTTTGCTACTTTTGGTATAAAGCACGGTATTTTTAGCTTCGATTATTAGAGTGCGCTTTTCTCACATTTTTACATTTCTCGTTCTTATGAAGTATATCCTTCATTCATGAGGCTGGAGCGATAGCAGATGGTATACAGACATTGTCAGAACATACAGGGGTCTGTTTTTTCTGTATTTGAACTGGAAAGGGAAAATGTACATTGGAACTGGGAATATGGTTTGGAAGTGCATGGGGAGGGGAGGGAAGTTCAAATGGAAATGGGGAAGTGTGTTGGGAAAGGGAAGTACATTATAAATGGGGAAAATTGCGTAATTTTGCAGGGAATATAGGTGTTTTTGAATGGGGAAATGTACGGTTGACCCTCCCACATTGCGGGGGTTTGGGGGCTCAGCCCCCCCGCGATGTGGAAAAGCCGCATAAAAAATTAGTGTGTATTTATGGTATTAAATGATAAAATACATTAAACAAATATTTTAAGTATTTATGACTTACTAAACTTTTTAAGGTTTTCTTTACTTTCTGTCTCCTACGCATGTCACGTGCGGTGCGTGTGGTGTGTGTGCAGTGTGGTTGCCGACCCGCGAAAAATTGAAGCCGCCATGTGGAAATCCATGATGTGGGAGGGTCTGTACTGAGGGAATAGTTGGGGAAGTGTCAGAGTTGGAAGTGTTCAGGGGTAGCGTAATGGGAAGCGTAATTAAACAGGAAGTGCTTTGTAATCATAATGGTATTTATGGGAGTGCGTTGGAGGTGGGGTCAGGGGGCCGTATTAAAAACACTCCGTCTCTGTGGGGGTTCTGTGCTCTGTTCCAGGCAATGCGGGGTTTCGCCTGCACTTCCCAGCGCTGTTTGAGCACATGGAGGACCCGGCGCCGGAGCGGAACCCCGACCAGAACCAGAACTGGGAGAGGCAGCCCCAGCAGCAGCAGCCGGAGCTGAGCTGCGAGGTTCGGATCGGACAGAACCTCCAGCTGATAGGAGACCAGTTCCACCAGGAGCGGGTTCAGCTGGTGAGTGCCCGTGGTCTGTTAATTTAGGTTTGTGGTGATGTCACTTGCTGTTCGTGTGTGTGTGTGTGTGTGTGTGTGTGTGTGTGTCTGGGTTTGGGTGGACCAAGAAAGGAAGTGGGTGTTTTTGTTTAAAGCCACCCACTGCCAACCTTCATGTGGTTTTCCATTAAAATGTCACAGGAATTCCTCTGATTACGCTTCCAGAAATAGAATTCATTCAAATGGTCTTGTGAGCAAACCCTCATACGCAGCATTTTATTTCTTGAAAATTAAGGTGGCAAATGGTACCAGGTGCATGATTCAGACAGCAGTGAGCGCCACCTAGTGTTTGGAGGGTGTAAGTCCACCAATCTCGTGATCATGACATTACCCCACTTCTGAGATATGGAAGTGCGGTCGTGCTGAATGGGAGGAAACCAAAAAGCAACGGCTCACAAAATGGACACCCTCATTTCGACTCCCCGTCATTTTTTTCTTTTTCTTTTTAATAGCAAGAAGCAATATCCTTGAGCTGTCAGCAGTTATTTGTGGTTACCGTCTCCTCTGACTCTTGTCTCAATTCAGTGTGCCACTTGTGTCTGACAATATGTTCCATTGTGTCATAGTTTTTTTTAACAACAGGAAGGAATGCCTATTATTTTTTTATTATTTTGGTTACAGGCTGTTTTTGTATTTATGCTGCCATTCAAGGTACCTGAAGCTTGCCTGTGTATGCTCGTGTGTAATTGTATGCGCTTATCCGTGATTCGTTGTGGATGAGCACAGCTGCTAAATGAAGAAAGGCAAATGCAAGCTGCTCCGTTGCGGTGCCATCTGGAGGTGACTGCATTCCTAGAGGGCATTCTCACTCTCACTGTGTGCCAAGATTTCTCCCGCGTTCTGCTGCGCTCTTTGTTTCCAAGTGATGCCAGCTCAAGCTCACCGATTCCTCCTACATTACTGTCATTTAGCTGATGCTTTTATCCAAAGTGACTTACAGTTGATTAGACTAACCAAGGGCCAACTTACCAACCGCCCCTGGGAGCAATGTGGGGTTGGGGGTCTTGTGCAAGGGCACAGCAGTGATGGTGTCGGAGTCATGTACCTTAGCCACTGGACTACAGGCTCCCCCATGTTAGTTAAGTCTGGACCGGGCTTGAACCCCCAACCTCAGGGGTCAGAGACATGTACCTTAGCCACTAGACTACAGGCTCCCCTATGTTAGTTAAGTTTGGTTTTTCCTCATACACCCTTTCTTTCATCAGTGACTCTTCCTGTTATCTGCTGACGGTGCGCTCAGCTGAACAAAAATGAACAAAAAAAATAAAGATGACCAGCCAGCTTAAAATTAGTTTTCTTTTTTCTGTGTATTTTATATTTCCTTTTTCTAAAATTTTGTTTTGCATATGATGAGTTTTGCCTTGAAACCGATCTCAGTATGTTGCTGTATTCTTCTGTGCTCAAGGAAAGCAAGTTCTAATTGTAGAAAAAAATATAATGGTTGGGGGGGTAAGATCCCATAAAGAATTGAACGTTTTTCAAGTGCTGGCTGTGTTTTATTGTGTAAGCAGCGTAAGTCACCCAGGATAAGAGTGGCTGCCAAGCGAGCAAGTAATAACAATAAGGGCGAATCTGTGGGGCGCGCGGATGTGACGGGAACGAAGCCGGCAGAGGCTTACGCAACGCAGTGCAATTCCCGCCCCGCTCACATGAAAGCCAGCGGCCTTCATAAAAACCAGCTTAATGATGCAAACAGTCTGATTCCGCGCTTCGCCAGGTTGTTGTGTCTGGTGAAACTTGACAGGATTCTAGACGCTTCACCTAAAGCGGGGGCTTCCGTGTCACGGCTGCAATTAGAGAACCCTGTAGGTGCGCGGGCGAGACGATGCCGTTTCGATGCGAACCCATCCTGTCAACGTGGCAGTCACACGGACACCCGGCTTCTTATTTTTGGGGGTTTCTTTTGACGACCCACGAAGTTTGCTGGTTTTTCCGCTGAAGTCATGTGGTTGCGACTGGGTAACGAACGATTTTGCAGCATTGCGTCATTTTTAATGCGATTCTTTTCCAATTAAGATAAACTGACACTGACATTCTTTCAATGTAGCTGAAACCTTCATTCAGGACGATTTGTGTGCAAATACAAGCAATACTTAGAAAACAATGTTACAACGGGTGGTGAACATTTTATATTCATGTATAAGAGACTGCAGAAAATAGGGACGTGAGGTTTTAATGACCTCAGTGACGATATGGGATTATTGTATACACAGTGTGCAATAATTAGCATCGACATCGCTCCACGGATAGATGCAATTAAAATGTATGTGAATATGATGGAGTGATGTCAGAACGAGTGATGGACTATGCAGGGTGGAGGATGATGTGTCCGTCAGTATGTGTCTCACGTTGACCCCTCTTCCCTGTCTTTCTCTGGTCCAGTACCACAGGACCCAGCGGAACCTGCAGCCGGCCTGGTGGCGCACAGTCGCAGCTCTGTACTCCCTCCTGTTTGAGAGAGGGGGCGTGGCCCAGCACCGGGGAGGAGAGCACAGGTGAGGGGCCCCGCCCCTGGCCCCACCCTCAAGGGACCGGACTTCGGCTGGCACTGTGAGACTGGACACGGGTTTGGACAAAAAAAAAAAAATCACGGAGGTGGAAAATTGTGGATGCGGTCCCCGCAGGACGGAGACACTAAACTTTTCGAATTTTTTTTTTTCCTTTCCGTTTTTCTTACACGAGGAAGCCATGTTGCGCTTTGTTTTGTTTTTTTTTTTAAATAATATTTGGTACATTTTTATTTCTTCTGGAATCGTGAAGGACCTCCATTCATGCTGAGATTGCCTTACTGTTTGGAGAAAAGGAGAGGCGGGGACAAGGAGTGGGGGAGGAGCCTGGTGGCACCCTGGGTCTCTGTCCCGAACGCTGATTCGTCGTCAGGTGTCCAGTGACTTACCAACAAATGCATTTCCAAAGAGCCAGTTTCTGTGAACAAATCATTGAGCCCCTAATTCTGTACCATCACTTTTTACGTATTTTATTAATAGTTGTTTTTTAATATTCTGTGGTCTCTTAAGTGCATCGGATCAGTTTTATTGTATTTAAAATGTTGATTAAGATATAGATTAAGATGTTTTCTTTTATGCTTTGTAAGTGTTACGTCTGCCTGCAGATTTTAATAATCCGGTCATGTGAAGTAACGTTTGTATATGCTGAAAAAAAAAAAAAAGGCTTTGGAAATATTTCTGCTCAGTGATTTGAAGAAACTTGCGCATCTTTTCAGAAGAGTATATATATATATATATGTGAAGGCAATCTGATATGGGCACAACTTCGGTTTTAATCCCCATCGCTCACTAGAGAAATGCACAAAAATTTACACTCCACGGAGAGACTCTGTTTTTTTTTTTTTTTTAAATCTCTAAATGAGCGACCGTTAGGTTTCAGGTAATAGCAGCAGTGACCATGAACCAAGATGAATATTGACGCTTTTCAGGATGGTTACTCAAGCTGAATTAATGCCCTTCCTTGAACAGCAGGCCAAGGAAAAGCAATCAAACTGAGAGCACTCAATCAGCGCGCAGCGTCCTTTCTTATTTCGCGAAGGATAAGTGTGTAACTCGGTGCTCTTCCCTGTGGCCTGTGTAAAGTATCTCAGTTAAGGGTATGGATGTCACCAGGCATATTGAGACTCAGTGCTTGTAATCGAAGGTGGTTAGCACTCAGCAATCCTATTTGCACTAGCTCTCGCCAGTTGTGGATAGACTCTTTGTACTGTACAATCATAAACGACAGCGCCACGTTCCCTCTATCATAGGGAAAGCAGCAGAAATTAAGGTGCGGGTAAGAAAACAAAACCAGGCGTATTCGATGCCGTCACTACCCTTGGTTTCCTTTGAGCTCGACGTTTATAAAAGGTCGGTGTGACTTGCGGGAGGTGGTTGACGCTTTTGAATACTAAATAGGCCTCGCTGGGTTCCATGCGCCACATGAACCCAGACAAAATCCTGGTTGGATAATGAGCTCGACACTAACCTGAAACGCCATTAGGCAGCTTTTAAGTTGAGCTTTTTTTCCTGTCTAAGGGGCTCTTGCGGTGGTGAACGTAAAGTGCATCGAGCTGTCTTGGTCGCGGTCAGATTTGCACTATGAAATCAGAGATGCCCCAATTCCGCTGAACCACCTCAGGAGAACAGCATGCTAAATCGCTTGCGAAATTACGCCATTTTTACATTCCTGTCAAGTAAAATGTATCACAGAAGCTCAACAAAATCAGAATCGGCTTTGTACAGTTGACATGCCTATATTATGTATCTGAACTCATTTTCCAGTATTGCCTGGCTTGCTGGCTACATCCATTTTAAATATATATATTTTTTTTAGGCTTTTACAAATCCAATTGTTGACAAGGACAAATTTTAACGCCGCCGTTTGACCTCGACTCTTTCTTTGTTCTCAAAACTGTTTTTTTCCTTTTCATGAGAAAGCACTTACTCATTTGCTGTTTGACGGTTTTGTTGGTGAACTTCAGTCAGAAATTCAGTAGGGCCAAATTTTCAGATTGCTGCAGAACAAAGCCAGTGGGAGTTTATGGAGTCTGCAGAATCCGGAGCTACCTCTGAGGTCTGCGATTGGTCCAGACTTGGCGTCAGACGATTGGCTGCTGCACATGTGACACAGTCCGGGTAGCCAGCTGTCTTTCCTCATGGCACGAATTGCATCTCCTCCTCTGTTCATACAGCGTTTAGCAATCAGCTCTCTCACTCTGTATATTGTATGCATAAAAATACTTTTTATTGTTTTTTTTGGAAGGTTTTTCCTCTAACTTTTTAGAAATGTGTTGACTCAGCTTTACTGTACAGGTTCCCACATGTGCAATGCATTCAACTTTATTTTTTTTTTTTTTTTGATGGTGTTTTGGGAGTGTGGTTGGTTAGGCTGTGTATTACGATGTGTAGATGGGGGTCAGCACTGTGCATTTTGTTTATTATTTATATTTATTTACCAAGTTGATACGTTGTCATGGAAACAGAATTATGGGATCAAATGTAGTTGCAATTTGCCATAAGATGTAAGATCACCTTGGGTGAGAGGAGAGTAATATAAGGTGGGTGTTACGCTTTCCATTGAGTTTATGCTGGGTGGAATGAGTGAGGTAAAAATTTATTTTAACCAGCTGATTTTGCACAGTTCTGATCTCTCTCTAACCTCCAAGTCCTCAAGAAATCGAGTCCTGTAACATCCCAAAACACAAAAGGCCATTATTGACAAACACTGGAAAGGAAGCGTATTTGCGTCGTCTGCATGTTGCTTATTTTTCAGCTTTGTGTAGGCTGCTCTCAGTTATTGTGTCTGGACTGGTATAAGCCACCGTGGTGCCCAGTGTTACTGCAGGTGTTTCTAAAGGTCATGTGGATGTCAGTGCGCCCATGTGAGCCAATCAGCTCCTTTGGAGGTGGAGCCTGTTTCTTAAAACTCAAGCCATCAAGTGTCTTGAAATTGAGTCCAATTTTTATTCTTTTTTTTTATTATTATTTCAGAGGCAAGATTTCCTGTTGTAACTGTGTTGTAATGAAATGAGTGAATCTCTCAGTTTTCCAATGAAAGAAAAAAAAAAAAAAGATATGAAAAAAACTTCACATCATGCGGATATGTTTTTTTGAAATTGTACAAGTTTTTACAAAAATGAGGACTTTTGTAAAATTTTACAAAATTTTGCCACTTTTGGCCGATCAATCCTTTCGTACTGCAGCAGTTCAGCCTTGAGTGTTTTCATAGGATATGAAAATGAATTTCAATGACTGGATTTCAAAGGTTTTCATCATTTCGTGGGGTTTAAATGCAATTTAATGTTTAAAAAGTGTATTCTGTCTTATTTATGCATCGTACATTGTCTTGACAGACATAATGAGGAAAAAAAATTCTTCATGTTACCTTGTGGTTTCAAAAGTGTCTTAAGGAACACATTCTCTGTATCTCAGAAACATGAGATTGAAGATGGAGTAATGTGAAATATTGACCGTGTGTCTTTGAGACTCATCCGCAGTTGAATTGTCTATTTACGGGGCGGGGGAAGCATGGATGGTTGTCTTTTATAGTGCAATATGCTGTACATAAGAGCTTGCCTCTCTTTGACTCGTTTTCTAATTTTCATTGTTAAATTGGTACTTTCTTTTTTCATTAAAAAAAAATCTGAAGGCGTGACAAGTTTTTT